CCTACCTTCTTCTCTATCATTCCCTCCCTCCCCTCCTACCATATGTCACAGTCTCTGAGGTCAGGTCATTCGAACTGGATAGATCATCAACTGACCTCTTACCTGCTCCGACATGATTAATATTGACTATACACCGATAAACCCAAACACCTTCACTTTAACGGGATTCCATCTGAACCTCTTAACTTCATTGATATGAACTTCATTCTGGAGAGAGAGAGAGAGAGAGAGAGAGAGAGAGAGAGAGAGAGAGAGAGAGAGAGATAGAGAGAGAGAGAGAGAGAGAGAGATTTGCTCTCACACACACATAAGGATCCAGCCATAACATATTAATGTGACCTTATGATCCCCAATTTCCTTCGTATATCAAATGGATGTAATTTTTATTTCAGTTCACATCTGCCACTGTAGCTGCCAAAGGTGAGTAAGATTACAGTGCTAGGAATCTTCTGTGCCGGTGGTAGTATTTCCCAGTAGTGAGACATATCGCGAGAGTAGTATTTCGCGGTGAATGAGAAATATTGCGATTGTAGTGTTTCCCAGGGGCGTGAGGTCCAGCCTGTACTGTATAACTGAAGAACCCTGTTACCATCGGCTGCCCTCACCCAGTGCGTGTTCCTGGCTCATACTTCTGTTACGGTGATACTGGTCCGTGTTGCTTCTACGGCCTCGTTATATTCTTACGGTGTGTTGTATAGGTGGGGGTGTACTCCTCTACTTACCACAACACCCTCTCGTCACCTACCACTAGCCAACCCACCACAGCCATAACGGTGTGTGGTGTGAGCGGCGTGATCCCTACCCACACACCTGTACATTTCACCTGCATACACACACTACGCTACACCACCTTCACGTTACCAAGTGTCTTTCCAAGCCTTTCACCGTCATTGGCTTGTCACGTAAGCATCTCCCTCCACTGTTACTCTCCACACTAACGTTACACACTACGCCTTCTCAGCCTCACAGGTCCCCCCCCCCATCCACTGTCACTAATCGTCAACATTCACAGTAATGATGGAGCCTCGACGTTACTTGTGGTTCCCAGGCCCTTCAGACGATCACCGTCTAGTCACGTCATCGTCACGCCCGAGAGTTGCATTCATTTTGGGAGAGGCAGAAGTCTCAGGTAGCAAAGTTACAGGTGTCTCAGGTAGCATAGGCAGAGTTACAGGTGTCTCAGGTAGCATAGGCAGAGTTACAGGTGTTTCAGGTAGCATAGGCAAAGTTACAGGTGTCTCAGGTAGATAGGCAAAGTTACAGGTGTCTCAGGTAGCATAGGCAGTGTCACAGGTGTCTCAGGTAGATAGGCAAAGTTAAAGGTGTCTCAGGTAGCATAGGCAGTGTCACAGGTGTCTCAGGTAGCATAGGCAGAGTTACAGGTGTTTCAGGTAGCATAGGCAAGGTTACAGGTGTCTCAGGTAGCAGAGGCAGTGTCACAGGTGTCTCAGGTAGATAGGCAAGGTTACAGGTGTCTAATGTAGCATGGGTTCCAAGTTAAAGATTAATTTGGTTAAGTGAGGTGCTCAGAGTCAGTAAAATGCGGCAGGTGACAGTGTGGGCCACGAGGGAGCACCCTGGTGTTGGTGTCCCTCGCCTCCTGTCTTGGGTCTTGTTACCTTTATTCCTCTCGTTCATTTGTCTAAAATTTACAAAAAATATCAATTGTGAGAGATGGAACTACTCATACAACAAAGTTAGATAACAAGTTTATACAGAGGGTAATTTTTCCACGAGACCAGCTAGTGTCAAGCCACGTAGTGCATACTCTTCCCACAAGACACTCAGCATCCCAGAAGCAGAACAGGAAAGTTTCACACAATCAAATTTCGAAGCAAGAAAGGGAGGGGGGGAGGGAGACCATGACTGCCCTTTACCTAACTCTACAGTTAGTATCATAAAAACAAAGCCAACAAGAGCAATCAACAGCGCCGAGAGTTCCCTTCCTCTCGGTAATGGCACACTCCTGGAGGCTGCCCAAGATGAACGTTAGCCGGGCTTCTGTTTACAGCGGCAGTGTTCCATGGCAGGAGCTCAACACAAGAGCCAGTGAAACAGTGAGGTGAAAAACGCACAGCGGGGTACTTTCCTACACCTGTTATACCAGCAAGAGCCCCGCGCCTCTACTGTGAGCGCCACACCCTACAGGAGAGCCTCGAGTTAAACAATAATACAAAGCCCAGATTCTCAAGGATTCATGCAAATGTTTGTTTTCCCTCTCGCTGGGGAGACACGAACACATCTAACAGATTCTCTTTACCTACGACACAAAGATACCAACAAAATCGGCGTATAAATTTTTCACTGATGTCTGCTAATATTAGGAGGGTTTTCTAGTTCACAATAACTATGTAAAACAAGAGAGTATAAAGAAGTGATAATCAAGGTCCATGACCCCGCCTCCTCAAGCTAACAAATCGTCGGGCGGATGAAGAAACCATTATAGTGCCACGCCCATCATTGTGGTGTGTGGTCGCCTCAGCCTATGATGATGACCAAGGTCCGAATTCTGAAAGGTACGTGCGTTAAATTATTCCCTTCTGCCAGAGACAAGAGAATGTATGATATATTCTGTACGCTCGAGGCAAATTGGATGCCATTTTGACCGCCATCTTGGCATCGTACGTTTGAGAATCAGAGAGAGGCGTTCTCACGTCACGAGTTAAGGGGGGAATATACGTATGAAAGCTAAGAACTTTTTGGTTCATTTATATCTACGTTTCATCTTATCTCGGTCACAATGTTCGTCTGTCTATTTCTCAATAGCGTGAGCGCTTTGCTGTTCGCCCACGTGATTGTTTGAGTACCTGTCTGACTGAATGAGTGCCTACATGAGTGACCGAGTGCCTAACTGAATACCCATAAGAGTGTCTGGGTGTCCATATGAGAGTCGTGGTACCCACAAGTGTGTCTGAGTGGCTCTGAATGTGTGAGTGGCCATGAGTGCCAGACTGTCTCGTGTGTTTCAGCCTCCCTCCATACCTGCGTCTGATCTACCCAACACCTCAACACCCTCCCTATTTATAATGGTGCGCGAGGTGACTATAGTGGTGCAGGAGGTGATTATTATGGTACGGAGGTGGCTATAGTGGTGTGGAAAGTGACTAGTGGTGCGGGAGGTGTCTATAGTGGTGCGGGGAGGTGACTAGTGGTGAGGGAGGTGACTAGTGGTGCGGGAAGTGACTAGTGGTGGGAGGTGTCTATAGTGGTGCGGGGAGGTGACTAGTGGTGCGGGGAGGTGACTAGTGGTGCGGGAAGTGACTAGTGGTGCGGGAGGTGTCTATAGTGGTGCGGGGAGGTGACTAGTGGTGCGGGAGGTGACTAGGTGGTGCGGGAAGTGACTAGTGGTGCGGAGGTGTCTATAGTGGTGCGGGAGGTGACTAGTGGTGCGGGAGGTGTCTATAGTGGTGCGGGGAGGTGACTAGTGGTGCGGAGGTGTCTATAGTGGTGTGGGAGGTGACTATAATGGTGCGGGAGGTGACTATTATGGTACGGAGATGGCTATAGCGGTGCGGGAGGTGATTATAGTGGTGGGAGGTGTCTATAGTGGTGTGGGAGGTGACTATGGATAGGTGTCTAGTGGTGCGGGAGTGTCTATAGTGGTGCGGGGAGGTGACTAGTGGTGCGGGAGGTGTCTATAGTGGTGTGGGAGGTGACTATAATGGTGCGGGAGGTGACTATTATGGTACGGAGGTGGCTATAGCGGTGCGGGAGGTGATTATAGTGGTGCGGGAGGTACAGACACTTCTCGAACAGTTCTCACAAGTCAGTTGTCTCTCTTCGTCTTCATAATGGATGTTGCACAGGTGGTGTTTGCGTCTGTGTGCTGCTGTCGGTGCAGTGTTATAACCGCTGCCTTGGTCATATAGTTGTTTATTTACCTCCAGTGGTGCGTGAAGTTGCTGCTACACGTCTTGGAAGGTCTATTTTATCTTCCTTTACTTCTTTCATTCCTTCTGATCACGAAAGAATATTTTACTCAGAGTTAACTAATAGTGAAGGAACAGTAATGACAAATGAACACGGACTTTCCCATGTAAATTCACCCACAATGACTAGCAAATTCATTTTCGCCTTATTAATGACACTTCATGTGAACTTAATCACCTAAAGTTCTACCAAACACGAAAATTAACATCACACAAGCCTTCACATGATTACTTCTCCGCGTCCCACCCAAAACTTGTCGCCATAGTCATGTAATAATGCGAACCTTCAGAAGCAACTCCCACAATGTTCTGAGCCATCTCACATCTTCCCCAGCGAGTCAGTTCGTTGTGTCTTTACCCTAACACTTGCTGTCTCCACTGAGTTGACGATCTCCGGTAAATCCTTCAACAAACACAAGTGTAAATCCCGTGAGAGTTAGGCAGCTGAATCGCTATTATCAGGCAGACTAAAACCTTGGCCAGACCACCAGCCACCCCTCCCGTCCACGCCTCCTTATCACCCACGGATAACATTCCTGCAGGTGATTGCCCGCTCCACCAAGATAACGACGGCCTCGGTCACATCGTGTACGAGAGCATAGTCACAAGGCTGCACGGCGTTCTGTTATCACAATACTGCACTTGCACTTTATACCCCACTTTAAGATCACCTAAAGTTTAGCCCTCAGCTTATTTCATCATATAATTAATCATCCTAACCCCGAGATATGCGTTAGGGAGAACTATGCTGAGGTGTCTAATCTTCAAGTGATCCCCGAACTAATACATACTCGAATCTGATCTACTAACACAAACATTTTCTGTACGTGTTTAAGAACTTCCTACAGTGTGTATTATTGTTTAACCGTTGAGGAGAAAGTCATCTGAGGCAACGATGAGTCAGGACCACCCACACCCGTCACGAGGTTCACCATCACCAACTGAAGTATAAATGACTATTCACTGTCTCCTTTAATAACTCTTTATAAATTTCAAGCCACGAGACATCCTCAGGGCTAAATACATCAACATATCAACTATAAATGAAAAGACCTGGTGGCGTGTACTCACCTCTTGTACTCTCTCAGTCAGTGGTGTCGTGACCCTGTAGAAAAGATAAAAATAAACACTCTTAGCCTGGCAGGTAAAATAAAGAACTTAGTATACATTAGATACACAACATCAACACAATATGTCTGGGTTTCTATCTAACAAATAAATCAAGTTGAATGTCATTAAATTAAATGATTAAATCACTATACATTACACTTTATACAACCAGGTCATAAACATAAATATACATTAAATCATAAATGGTATGTTTGTATACTGAGTGTTCCTGTTTCTGAGAGAGAGAGAGAGAGAGAGAGAGAGAGAGAGAGAGAGAGATTCATGGTGACAGATCAAGAGATTTAATATAGATAACCAGACAGACACAGAGAAACAGTTGAAGAAGATAAGAGGAAGTGAGTGGGTTTAAGAAGCAGTCACTCTACCCTTGTAACATACAGCTCACTAGCAACTGTATGGCCACGAGTGCTTGCTGGCCCAGGGTGTGTCTATAATGCTTGAGGTAGGGTGAGGTGGCCAAGGGTGAGAGAGAGGACAAGTGGTAGTGGAGGGAGTCATATATCCCCCCCCCCCTCTCTCTCTCTCTCTCATACACACAACCATACTTGATGAAACTACTGATAGGCCAAAGAATGATACCCTCCCTCCCTCACCCTGAAATATAAATTAGCCATGACTGTACAACCACACGCGATAAGACGGAGATTCGCCCCTTCTCTCCCCTAGCTTATTAGTAGTAGTAGTAGTAGTATTGTTGTTATTTTGTACATCATGGTCCACTGACGCAAGTGACGAGTGTGGCCATAATATTTCACAATGTTTCAAGGTGTATCGTGTAAGGCCTCGCCAAATATAAGTGACTGGCTGGGAGGGCGGGCAGATGGAGGGGAGTTTCACACAACTGGGCCAGATCAGAAGTTCTCAGGCGCGATATATTTTACTTATTATTATTTTTTTTTTACTTAACCAGAAGACTTTTCGTAAAACAGAAGTGAAAATAAAAACAGAGGAAACGCCCCCAAACGCAACGTAACGCTAACTTATTTAATACCAAATTAACCTATAGACTAGACTAACTTTTGGGTATCTTGAAGTTAACAGAAAAAAAAAAAGTAAAAACTAAAGCGAATTTATTTAGTGTTAGAGGTTAAGTTAGTGTTAGGTTAGTTTAGTGTTAGGTTAGGTTTGGCTACGTTAGTTATGTTTTGGTTCCTCCAGTGCAACATTCATTTCTAATTACCTAAGTCATTCTAGTGTCAGATTTGGTTAGGTTAGGAAACCACCAATTTTCTCTTCAACATTCTTCTACAACAAACTACAGGGAGAATAATGTGACCCAGACTCAGAGGCAGTTGGGTGACGTAAAACAAACCTTATCTTTCACATACCGTTGACAAGATAACCCAATGATATGCTTCAGTCAGCGTCAATATAATCATAGGAAAAAATAGTTATCAAATAAAAATAAATAAAAGTTATCAGTAACGAGCGAGTGTTATCAAAGTCTTGGTGCTCAGAATAACGAAAAAATAACGTAACGTAACGTAACGTAAACCTACCCAAACCAAACACTAACCTAACCTAACCTACAGGGTGTCCATAAATGATTACCCTGATTAAAACATGAGAGCATATTGTTTTAGGGTGATCATTTATGGACACCCTGTGCACTCTCCACCCTTAAGAGGAACACACACACACACACACACACACCTTATAGAAACAGCTTTAAAAACTCACCTTAAAATTTGCACGTTGGTAACTTAGTTTATATATAAAACTTTATATTCCCAGTTTTATGTTTTCATCACCTTTTTGTTCATGTTCAAAATACTCATTAACTGAGTCCTTGATGTTCAACTTCGGCGGGGATTATGTTGAACAGTTTAGTAGGTAACTATGGGCTTCACTGTATATATATACCAGCACTAAGCTACCAGTAAATGCACAATTGTTTCCCGATGACTATAACCACCCAATGACTATAACCACGCGACGACTATAACCACGCGACGACTATAACCACCCACGACGACTATAACCACCCACGACGCTACTCTACTGGCACTGGTCGTCGTCACACACACACCCAGCGGTGGTTCCCTCTGGCCCGCCAGGCTTCACACTGGCACCAGCCCGTCGCCACTGTCATGACCACACTGGCCCTCACCTTGCCAACTCTCGCTGCTGCCACAACTAACTCCTCACAAATTAATATAACTCACAAGTACTCCACTACCCGTGCAGCTAACCTTTAAATAAACCAAAAGAAAATCGTATTAACCTTCACAGTATTCAGCTAAATTATATAAGATATATAAATACAGGTATACCTTATATATGGAAGAAAGGATGCCGCTATTTTGGTAATGGTGTTGGCAGGGTGCCCGGGCGGGGCCGCTAATACTATAGGCAGCGATGGTCTTTGTGGTGTACAGCTCTCACCCAACTTTTACCACAACAGAAACTTACGACTGCACTCACACGCTTCCACTCCGCGTAAACCAAGTGAAAAAAATACTGCAGTATAAATTAATGGCGAGGTGGAAAATGGTGACGGCCGGCTAGTGTGTGAACAAGACAAATCAGGAAGTTAAGTGTCGGGAACGTGACGTCATGGTGGCACCGGGGCGATGATGTCAGCGTGTCCGCCTGGCCTGGCCTAGGTCAGCGAGTTCCTAAAACCTGGCGACGGCGCACCTTGCCCACGGGAACAATCACCGACGCTTCTTCACACAAACACGTCCCTCACCATGTCTTGCCCCACCTTCACCACGCACCTCAAACAACACGCACACTTGATCGATGACACACGCACTTAGTACCACTGTAAAACACTATACACACACCTGGTCCCACTGTAACACTATACACACACCTGGTACCACTGTAACACTATGCACACACCTGGTACCACTGTAACACGATACACACACCTGGTACCGTTGTAACACGCCAGACACAACCGTCAACGAAGCACACTCCTGCGTCACAGCACCTCACTGTCAGCCACACGTGTAGGGGTGAATCACGTCTCACAATCATCCCACACCTGCAGTACTTCTCTCACCACCACACCTGCAGCACCTATCTCACCACCACACCTGCAGTACCTCTCTCACCACCACACCTGCAGTACTTCTCTCCCACCACACCAGTACCTCTCACCACCACACCTGCAGCCTTCTCTTACCCACCACCTGCAGTACTTCTCACCACCACACCTGCAGCACCTCTCACCACCACACACTGCACACCTCTCTCACCACCACACCTGCAGTCCTCTTTCACCACCACACCTGCAACACCTCTCTCACCACCACATCTGCAACACCTCTCTCACCACCACACCTGTGAGCCCTCTCTCACCACCACACCTGCGTGCCTCTCTCACCACCACACCTGCTGCAACACCTCTCTCACCACCACATCTGCAACACCCTCTCACCACCACACCCTGCACACCACACCTGCAACACCTATCTCACCACCACATCTGCAGCACCCTCTCACCACCACACCTGCAACACCTCTCTCACCACCACACCTGCAGCTCTCACACCACCACACCTGCAGCACTCTCTCACCACCACACCTGCAGCACCTCTCTCACCACCACACCTGCAGCACCTCTCTCACCACCACACCTGCATGCCTCCTCACCACCACACCTGCACCTCACCACCACACCTGTACCTTCACCACCTGCACACCTCTCTCACTGCAACACCTCTCACCACCAGCACCTCTCACCACACCTGCAGTACCTCTCTCACCACCACCTGCAGCACCTCTCTCACCACCACACCTGCAGCACCTCTCTCACCACCACACCTGCAGCACCTCTCTCACACCACCCACACCTGAGCAGCACCTCTCTCACCACACCTGGGACCCTGGTGATGATCGTCCACGTCTAAATTGCCAAATCAAACTGCTATAAAGTACTCAAGAAAAACTCATAATCACCAACATTTTACCTTCCTTTCTCTTCTTTCTTTCTTCTTAAACTGATGAGAGTTTATTTTCCCTTTTTCTTTTCTTTTACGAGTTTCATTATACTTGACATTTAATACACACGATTCTCTCCTAATGGCCTGTGACTCGTAAAGTTAACCTAACCCCCCCGAGGCTGTAACAACTCCTTTTTCTTTACAAGCGCGAGAACAACTGAACAATAACAAGAACTAAGGGAGAGAGGAGAGAGAGAGATTTTGTGTGGCCGCTTTCAGGAAGGACTCGAAATAAACCGTGTGTGTGTGAGGGAACGAGTCACTATCTCCGTGAGGCCACAAGAATGTTAACTGGACCACTACTGCCCCACCACTGCTACTGTATACACACACACTTCTCACCACTAATCCTCCCACTTCACAACAAGAAAGTAACCTAACCAAACCATCCTCACTCCAGGGCCACTTTCTTCAGCTATCTTCACTCCAGGGCACTTTCTTCAACTACCTTCACTCCAGGGCACTTTCTTCAACTACCTTCACTCCAGGGCACTTTCTTCAACTACCTTCAATCCAGGGCACTTTCTTCAACTACCTTCACTCCAGGGCACTTTCTTCAACTACCTTCACTCCAGGGCACTTTCTTCAACTATCTTCACTCCAGGGCACTTTCTTCAACTACCTTCACTCCAGGGCACTTTCTTCAACTACCTTCAATCCAGGGCACTTTCTTCAACTACCTTCACTCCAGGGCACTTTCTTCAACTACCTTCACTCCAGGGCACTTTCTTCAACTGCCTTCACTCCAGGGCACTTTCTTCAACTATCTTCAACCATCCTCACTTCACCATGACCAAAATACATTGGGGTAATCATAACACATTTCCTCAGTGACAAAAAACTACCCGCTGTTCATGTCTGCTTCTTAACAACTAACACTTTAATGACAGTTGGGGTCATTTCCTCGGTTTATTGACCCCAATTATCCATTTCGCTTATAAATTGACCAAATAAATAACGTTGTATGAATGTTAAAACAATCAACTGGGATAGGTTATTTTATATCATCCAATACCATTAA